GCCATGAAACTTGACTGCCTTCTTGACTGTGGCCCATCAAAAGGAGCCCCTACACATCTAGTAGATGGCTAAAGTCAAAAATACTGAGGTTACCAAATGTTGGCAAAGATATGGGAACACTGGGTCTCTCCCACATCGCCTGTGGGAATGTAAAATGGTACACTCTAGGAAACAGTTTGGCAGTTTCTTATAAAAGTTAAACATACGCTTACCACATGATCCAGCATACACTTACAATGTGATCTTGGGTATTTACACAAGAGAAATGAAAACTTATATTCACACAATAAACTTTACATGAACATTTGTAGCAGCTTTATTTGTAATATCTAAAAACTGGAAAATAGCCAAATTTTTTTAGCAAGTCGGTGGATAACACACTGGTACATCCACACCTTGAAATACTATTCAGCAATAAAAAGGCGTTTGCCCTTTACATTCAATTCAACTGGATCACAAGGGCGTTATGCCGAAAGCCATTCTCAAGCAGTGACATGCTACGTGATTCCACTTAGAGAACATTCAGACTGACAAAATCACAGTGGTAGGCCAGGCGCGGTGGCTCATGCTTGTAATCCCAGCACTTTGAGAGGCCGAGGCAGGAGTACCCAAGAGTTCGCGACTAGCCAGGGCAACACAAGGAGACCCCATTTCTACAAATATTTTAAAAATTTGCTGGGCATGGTGGCGCACACCTGTGGTCTCAGCTACTTGAGAGGCTGAGATGAGAGGATCACTTGAGTCCAGGAGTTTGAGGCTGCAGTGAACCATGATTATGCCATTGCACACCAGCCTGGGTGACAGAGTGAGGCCCTATCTCAAAAAGGAAAAAAAAAAAATGACAGTGATAGAGAACAGATCACTGGTTTCCAGGAGTTAGGGTTGGAGGACAGGTGTGATTATCAGAGGAGGAGCACAGAAAACTGTGGGAGTGACTATTCTCTGTCCTGATGGTGATGGCCATTACTCCAGCCTGTACATGTGACAACGCTGCATAGAACTGCAGGCATACAGGTACACACACACACACAGAGTGCATGTAAAAACTGGCAAAATCACATAAGATTGTATCTGCGTTTATTTGAACTATGCAGCATCTGTTTCTTGGTTTAGACCCAGTACTATAACTATGTTAAGACATCACTGGGAGAAGGTGGAGAAAGTAGACACTGTAACTTCTTGTACATCTTATGCTCTTTCACACACACACAAAAAGGTATTAAAACTTTTTAAAAGTTTTTAAAGCTATGTTTAAAACAGGGGTTTTTCCCACCCCAAGGAAGGGGATTCATCCCCTGGCTTCTCCTTTATGAGCAACTCCTACTGTTAATTTTGCCGCCTTCTAACTTGCAGTTTGGAGTCTATCTACAACATCCTGCTGGCTTTGGCCACACCCTCTGCTTCTCAGAGACAGACAGCCCATCTCAGATGGAATCAAAGCTCCAGTATGCCAGCACTGAATGTGAATGTGGCCCATTCACCCCTTCCTGAGACCATAGCTTCAAAGCTAGGTAGATTCAGATCTAAGAAATGGTCTCACAGTGAAAATCAAGGACAAATCATCATTCTCACCCCTGCACAGCAATTTCTTTTCTGGAATGGCTCTTTGTCTGCTCTGCTCTTCATACAGATTATACTCTTCACCTTCACTAAATGGCCCCTCCTTTAATGGAAGGATATTAACCCTTCTTTGCCCCCTTTCAATCTCATTCAGCCGAGGGCTTTCTTTTAACAGCGCTGCTGTCTCTGGGCCTTGTGCCACAGCTGAATGCTACAGAGTGAGAGGGCTGCCTTCTCTTTGAAGCATTGCGCTTTTGTCAAATACCTTTTTGCCAGACTTGGCCCTGGAAAGACAATTTTGAAATTAAGTTTATTGTGAGCCGCCTAGGTTAGCGCTATGGAATTGCACAAGGCCATGGCATTTAGATCCAGGGGGACTCGTTGCACCCACCACCTCCGGAGCCCTATCTTAACGAAATTTGAGCTGTATTTATCCCCAGATTCTGCAGAGTCCCCAGCATCACCTAAGACCGAGGCTGAGCATATGGGCTGAAGCCTATGCAGCATCCTGTCCGGATGTGACAATACGCTCACAAGCCACTGCTACCCCAGGACTGGCCTCAGCTTCCAGCTTCCATCCGTGCCTTAGTTATTAGAGGGACTCATCTCAAGAGACCATGATGAGAGGGACAGCAACGCACATTTCTCTGGCCTGGCTGTGAATAGGCAACCAGGATCATGTGCTAGAAAGGCGACAATTTTAATTGTTGACTTTCCGTAGTCGTTGGTGAATCTCATAGTTTTGCACCTTTTAGTTTCAAAACCATACTGAACAACGGAAAATGAAACCTGCAACTTATTTTTAGCTGTTCATACTAAATCATGAGATTTTTGTTTGCAAACCAAAGAGGATAAAGGCTACTTCAGCAGGCTAAACTTAGTCAATTGACTTAATATAGCAATCAATTCTGGTTCTTTGACAAGTCTCAAGTGACACTTGAGAAGTTCCAGGTGATATTTTGGCCAACATTTGCTATTTTGCTTAAAATTATATTTAGTTGAGTTTTGTTTTTAGTTAAACAAGTGTAGTATAATATTTTTATCTGAGAGGAGTTGGAAAACATGTTATAAACCCTCCATAGTGCCATCTAGTCATTAATTCAATTAATCTATAACTATTTTTAAGTATCTGTTTGACAGCTTAGAATTTTTTTTTTTTTTAATTGAGACAGTGCGTTGAATTACAAAGAGCAGAATGCTAGAAACTCAGGAACATGGCTTCTGTGCTCATTGCTGGGTCCTTTATTTAAACATGATGCTTACCCATTTGAACCTAATTTTCTTCTCTCTCAAAGAAATAGTTTAGATGGCATTTTCTAGAGCATCCTCCTCCTCCTTCAATTCTGTGAAACACACTCTGCCACTGAGGACCTGAGGAAATGTTGAGGTATTCTTTGGAGGCTGTGGCAGGGTTGTCCGGCCACTCTTATTTCTGTCTCCTCTTTCCCTGTTCTAGGAGGGACAGGTTTACACAAAGCACTGTGGTCTGCTTGCCAGACAACTTGTAGCTCCCCTTGATAAACAAGTGATTAAGTACTTGAAAGGTTTTCATAGGGATTTTCAGCACCCCCTTCCCCCCACAAGCCCATTACTTAACTCCCGAAGCAAGTACTTTAACTTTAGGAAGGGGCTTCATGATACAAAGCTGAAGATTCCACTGGTAGTGGTAGAGAAAGGACTCCGGAGATTGGTGTTGGTGAGTCCAAAACATCCTCAGCACGCCCCTCCATTGTATTAGGCAATGCTCTAGGCACCCTGGAAGATACAAAGAGCTTCCAGGAATCAAGCCAGAGGCATGGGCCTAGGTAGATAATTCAATACAACAAAAATGTACTGTGCTTTTATCTTTAGGCCAAAGGAGTTAAAGACTCACTGAGGCTTGTTAAGCTGCTCTGAGAAACGGTATATTGCTGTGGCCCTTTCTGAGCTGCAAGGTCATGTATCTGAGAGACGAGAAAGCAAGTAAGTTTATTCCCAGGTTTAAGTCTTGAACTATTTGTTGACCAGGGTGAAGAAAGATACAAAGATAAGATTATGCTCTCACATGAGGTGGATTTTTATGGATCTGTAAGAATTCTTACTTTTCTACCTTCATTTCTATCCCCACCTTCCCTTTTCAGCCTAGTTGCCTGTTTCTCCAAAACGATGAAACTCTACTTCCCTGCTAAATGTGTTTTGCCAATTCAGAAGCTAGAAGGCCCTGTTGTTTTACTTACTCTCCATCTGGGGCATGCATGACAAGCAGTCATGGCAGAAAATGAACATGTGATTGGGGTGTAGGAATGCTCTTGATCTCCATGGGCACTCAAGGTCATTATTTGTGCCATGTTTCAAATGCACTGAGAAATGAAAGTAGCAACTATTCTGTTGCTAAAGCTGAGTTAGTGATTTCCATAATGGTCGTGACACCTGTTGAGGATGATCCCGCAGGAGGATCTGAGTTGGGTTAAGATGGGTTGAGATGTTGTCCACCACAGTCTCCCTTGCAGCCTATGTCATTTGCCACTTTTCCTTTGTTAAA